TCGCTCCAGTTTAATGCTTTCACAGTGCAATAGTGTAGTATACTCCTCGATGGTAGGTACCATGTCCTCCTGGTTAAAAGTGAAGCAACTGTATCCCAGGTTCCAAAATTGAACCAAGACTCTGATTAAGGGCTCATTGGTCTTAACATGAAGCAAAAGTGCAATGTCACCATACCGCTGATTGAACTTCTATTTCCGATCATTCTTCCAACTATCTCATATGTCTCGAAGTTCTTGCACATTATTTTGTTTTAAACTGATAGAGGCGTAGCTAACTAGCTCTGACACATAGCTTCCTTGAAGACTATCTCCATTTTCCTTCTGAGTCTTCTCGGACCATAGTCGTACCTCGGGGTTTTTAATCTCTTGTATTACAACACCTTTGTCCATGGATTCAGATTATTCGAGTTTTAACAAACACGTTTTAGTGGATCAATGACCTCTTTTATGATGCAAGTGATGAAAATAAAATAAAATAAAATAAAGATGAAAAGAGTTAGTGAGGTGAAAAAAAATAATAAAAAAAGATCATAAAAATGAAAGTCCTACCCCACATGCTTATTATTCCTACCCGGACATGATCTCTATCCCGCATGCTACTTTCAAACAAATCCTAACCGCATATTTGTCTAGTTCGCATGCTTTGAACAGAAACTAAAGCAGGAAACAAAGCAGCCTAGGGTTTGGAATGAGATTTTGGGGTGGGCTCTAATTCTCCATGGTCTCCCGGTTTAGGTGCTAAAAAATGGTACCCGAGTTCTCCTTGCTGGTGCCCCCTTGGGCTTGCCAGACCCTTAGTCCTAAACCCATCACAGGCTTGTGTGGACTAAGTTAAACTCGAGAGGAAACATTCCCTTATGCCCATACGGAGAATAAATTCACACGAAGGCATAAGGTATATGAATCCCGAAGGTTACTTGCTAGGCCCATACGGAGAATAAATTCACACGAAGGCGTCGCTTTCACCCCCACTTAAATAGGGTTCGGAGCTCGGGTATAGAGCCTTTAGATGAAAAATCTTTAAGGGCTGAAATCATTAAAAAACGGTCAGTACAACTATTTACTTCGAAAATATAATCAAAAGTAAGCAATAAGGATCGAAATGTTACCTTAAAATTTAAACTTACCCTTTTCATTAAAAAGACAACTGGAAATTACCTTAGCCTGACTCACTTACGGTCCCTAGTGGAGTCGCCAAGCTGTCGTAACCGTCTTTCGGTTGGGCCCTGGAATTGGGCTTCGACTTGAAAAATGTGATTGGAGTCGCCACCGATTATTTATTTAAAAAATAAATAGGTTAATCGGATATCTTATATCTTACCTGATCTGCGTCTTACCAAAGATATGTCGGATTCGGGAGTCGATTACGGTCAAGGAAGGATTAGCACCCTTGAACCGCCCTTTCGGTACTACGTAATTTGCCGGTAGTCTTAAATTAAGAAAATTGTAATTTAAAATTAAAAGGTAAAAATACGATCACAATTACTTACCTTAGATAGTTTTAAAGGTGTGGTCTTAAGAAGGTCAAAAAACCATGTTAGATAAAAAGGTAATAGATAAAAATGTAAGAAATAAATAAATTAATTAAATTAAAATAAAGAGAAAACAAATTAAATAAAAGATAAGATAAAGAAAACAAAGATAAAATAGTAAGTAATATAAAAAATAAAGAAAAGAAGAAAAGAAGAAAAAAATATAGAAATAAAACAAATAAATAAAATAATAATAAAAAAGTAAAAATAATATATATATAAAATAAAAAAAATTAAAAAAGTAAATATATATATATATATATATATATATATATATATATAAATTAATAAAACTGATAATAAAAATAATATATTTATATATAATCTAAAAAAAATAAAATATACTAAAGTAAAAAAGAAAATACATAAAATGTAAAAAAAATATTACATAAAAAAAAATAACAAAACAATTAAATAAAATGAGTAACAAGGGAAATGTGCTATAAATAAAGTTAAATAAATAAAATAATAATAATTAAAACGTAAATGTAAGAGACCAAATCAAAAGTAAAAAAGATACTACTTTTTATTTATTTTTCGAATCGTTTACAATAGCTTTTCCTTTGTATCTTCTCGTGCTTTCCTCTATGTTTTGTGTGTAAATCGTGTGTCAATCGTCTGTTACAATAGTGAGCTACAATGGCTATTTATAGTGCTTGTGGATCCTATCTTTAGGAGTTTAAAACATAGCAAAATTCTATCCTATTTTAGGAGTTGAATCCTAGCAGAATTCTATCCTATTTTTGAGAGTTTGAATCCTAGTAGGACGAAAAAGGTGTGTTGATAGAGTGTTAGTACAAATGGTTGGGATTTAGATATTTGAGTTTGTAAGGTCAAGTTTGAATTTTACTATCGTCACTCTTGATGGACTTTGGATATTAGATATGTCCTAAACCGGAGGAGACATCCTTGCCTAAACTTTGTGTATAAAAAAAATATCTTTTCTTTGTTTAATTTTTTATTGTTATTTTTTTCTCATATACACACATCATTTTATTTTGATCTTATCTATATCGACAAATAATTTTATCAATAGGTAACAAATAAAACTGGGATAAAAGAAACTGATGTCAACTTATAGCATAAATGAGTTAAACTAAAATTTAAAATATGAAAAATTATATAAAAAATTAAATGTTTTATATAAAATTATATAAACATCATTATCTTTTAATATTTTATTGGTCCATCTCTGAGTACAAATAAATTAGAGATCAAAATTTTCGATATAATTTTTTATACTTATTTGAACAAGTGCATTGCAACAAAAAAGGAATATAAATCAAACAATCTGTTGGTCTAGTGGGGTGAGGCATTAGATTCTTTAAATAAGATTAGGGATTTAAATTCTGATGTTTGCGAATTAAGTAAATTGGATTGGGAGAGTTACCCTCGTCTATGCAGTACTCGATTTGGATTAATTTATCAATAAATCGGTAACCGATGGTTATAAAAAAAAAGCACAAACAAGATAAGAATAAAGTAATGTAAGAATAGTCTAATTTAATTATATATTAATTAGTTTTAAGAATAATAAAAGTACAGCCGAGCAAATATTTTATTTTAAGGAAATACACAAATGTCGGCTTTAGAAATTGGAATTATATAAATAAAGAGCTAAAGGGAATCATACACGTATTTTAAGCTGTTCTCTGCGCAAAACAGACAATAACAACCTCTGCCTTTTCCCCACCTATGCATAACTTTATAAATTTGGTCCTTTTATTTTAGTTTTTTTAATCAAATTTTGATCCTCATACTTTATGCAATTGAGAAAACCAAGTCCAATTTTTCAGTGAACATGTGAATTTGAGCAACTGGTTTTTGCTAATTTTACTAAATTGTCAAATTTTCTAGTTCCTTGCATATTAATTAGGCTTATATATCAAATTGAATCCTCTAATTGTATTCAATAATCAAGTGAATTCATGAATTAAATTATGGATCAAAAAAAGTTACGACTGAATGAATACTTATTTAAAAATCATAGATCAAATCAGTCTTTATATTTAAAAAATATGATCAAATGAACCCTTGTTTAAAAAATGGATCAAATCAACCCTTGTTTAATAATTTTTACATGTGTATTTTTAACGTTCAAGACAACCTCATAGGCTTATTTGATTGTGATTTTTCAAACAATAGATAATTTAATCCACAATTTAAATTACGAGTTTACTTGATTTTTAAATACAATTAGAGGAGCTTATTTGATATATAAGTATTGATGAATATTTGACTCACACTTAACGGGTTTTAAACTGACCTGATCTTATAGGTCAAGTTATTATTTTTAATTTGGGTTCAAGCTGAATTAAATTGAGTCGAGTTCGAGTTTAGGATAAAAAATCCTCAACCCGATCCGATTTGAGATAATTGTAATAGTATTCGGTCAAGGCTGGGTGGGCCATGATCATCCTTGTATATAAGCCTATAAAAGTATAAATTATTGAACTACTAAGCTGCGAGCGGTTTTATGATCATGTTTAACAATATTCTCCATTTGGGCTAATTCCTCTAATATTTTAAAGTACAAGGCTTAAATTTTGATAAAATAAAATACAAGGACAAAACATTTCAATTTCGTAAATTAGAGGGATGGAAATTAAAGTTAGACCTATAATAAGTTTTATACCTTTCGTGAATCGTGGCACCCACTTTAAAGGTTGTCCAAAAAGATAATCTACAACTCAGGTACAACCCTTTTTGGATTCACCTCCTTTACCAATAGGTAATAGCCACGTGTTTAGTGGACCCATCCGATCCTCATGCAAACAAGTCAAAAGTTTTGCACCAAGTGTCAGCCACGTGGCCAATTTATGTTCCCTTTTGTTTTAGGTAAAGTATATCAATGGTCCCTATATTACGATCAAATAATATTTTCAGCCATTGAAGTTTCAAAAGTTATAAAATAATTATTAAATTTATCAAACTATTACAAAATGATCATTAATATTTTTCCAAAATTTTTAAATAATTATTAAATTCATCAAATTTTATGATAATAAAAACGTGATAATAAAAATGTTTTGGTGACCATTTTGTAAGAATCCTATAAATGTAATGACTATTTTGTAATGTTTAAAAGTTAAGTAACCAAAAAGATTATTTAAACATAGTTTAGGGACTTATGTACTTTACCCATATTTTGGGTTGCCTTGCTAACCAGTTCACAACGCAGAACATCATGAGGATAAAATAAAAAAGTCCCCCATTTCAGTGAAAACAAAGTGTGTGTGTGTGCGTGTGTTTTTTAAAGCTTTGAACTTTGATGATTTCCCAAACTGTAAATCTATGAAGAGATACCCAAAGTCCACAAATTTAGGAAAATTTATAAAAAAATAAAATAAAGAGAAAGTCAGTTCCAGAATAAGAGATTGGTAGGGTAGAGTATTGGATGCTGGGAACTTTTACAAGAATAATACAAATTTATTTATTTTTCCTTTTTGACCTTGGATTGGTATGGTGTTTAAATTCTAGGTTTCTTCTTATTTTCATTCATGTTTTTAGTTGTTGGCATCCAGCTGATCATTTCAGAAGGAGAAGGATCTGATTTTTTCATTTATCCCAGGTGAATTTATTTCTATTTATTGTTGTTCTTTGCTTCAATTAGATTTCAGTTGTAAATATCAGAATTTGAGATTTCGAGAAATGGTTTATTGTTCAGTAGCAATAGAACTTTGAGTGTGGAACTTTTATTTTTGTTGTTTATTTTGATCTGAATTCATGATTATTGATGAGGGTTTATCCCCAAAGTTTTTTATGTTTATAACCGACTCAAAGACGATTGATTGAAGATGTATAAGTTTCATGTTTTCATGGAGAAAACGGGTGAAGAAGAAGAGTTTCATGTTTTCAGTAGCAATAGAACTTTGAGTGTGGAACCTTTTGTTTTTTAATCTCAATTCATGATTATTGATGAGGATTTCTACCCAAAGTTTTTGATGTTTATAACCGGCTCGAAGATGAGTGATTGAAGATGCAAAGATGTAAGAGTTTCATGTTTTCATGGAGAAAATGGGTGAAGAAGAGAAGTTACTGCTTTACTCGAAGTTTCTTGTTGTCACAGGTGTTTCGATTTTAACTCGGGGTAAATGAACTGCATTTTCAGATTCAGAAGTTCAAAAGTAAGGTGCCGAGATAAATTTCTTATCTGTGTGCTTGAATGACTCGCTTAAAAATTCTGTTTGATGATGAGGACTCTAAAGCCAACAGTGAACAACTCGGTCCTGTATCGTGCATCAATTCGGAGAATGTTGAAAGGTATTATATACTCTTCGGCACCACAACTCATGTATCAGGAATTGTGTTTTTTTTTAATGTTAGAGTAAATCCTTTGTTCTTGCAGGCTTGGTGAGAAGGCCTTCCCTAATGGAGATGTCTATGTTGGTGATTTTAAGGAAATTGTTCCCCACGGCAAGGGAAAGTATACATGGTCCGATGGAACGGTATATGAGGGTGATTGGGAAGCCGGGAAAATGACTGGCAAAGGAACGTTACTTTGGCCATCGGGTTCAAAATATAGTGGTGATATTTCATGGGGTTACCTTCATGGTTCTGGTGCTTTTACAGCATCGGATGGATCTATTTACGAAGGGCAGTGGAGGATGAATATTCGACATGGATTTGGAAGGAAGAAGTATTCCAATTCAGATATTTATGAAGGAGAATGGAAGGAAGGAGTACATGAAGGTAAGGGTGTTTATTTTTGGAATGAGGGTAACAAATACTGGGAATTGGAAACGTGGAAAGATGCACGGTAGAGGTGTTATGGACTGGGTAATGGTGATCAGTACAATGGCTGTTGGACTAATGGCTTCCGACATGGCTCCGGAATTTACCAGTATGCAGATGGGGGATATTATTTTGGAATATGGACCAGGGGCCTTAAGGATGGAAAAGGAGTATTCTATCCTGCCGGAAGTAAACGCCCCTCTCTAAAGAAGTGTTGTATGTCTATGGGATATGATAATGGCAATAAAAATGTGTTATCACAATGTTCATCGCTACATTTGGAGGACCGTATGGTCAAGAAACCAAGTGTTAAGCGTAGCCTCTCAGAAAAACTATCAGGAAGTGGAAGTCTAAAAGGTTCGGGTCGTATCTCACGCAAGAGTGGTGAAAATTCTGGATTTTCTGATTCTGGAAGAGAATTTGTACACCATAATTCCTCAGGCACATTTTCCCTTGATTCTGATGCTGGCCAAAGTGAGGTGCAAGAAAATACAGCTGTAGTTTATGAGAGGGAATACATGCAAGGAGTTATGATTAAAGAACGAATAAGAAATTATGCCGATTTGTCAAAGAAAGATGAAAAGCAAACTAAATCCGTTGGCGAAAGAACACAAAAGAGTTCATGTGTTAGCATTTTCAAAGGCCAAAACAGTTATCATTTGATGCTTAATTTGCAACTTGGTATAAGGTAAGTTGATTGCCATTAAATTTCCTTCCTTTTCTGACATACTCCCAATCCATCAGCTCAGCTTAACGGGATATTTATTTAGTTTTACCTATAGCGGGGCTCGTCTTTTTCAAATTTCATTCTGCATGTCTTTTACTTATCTTTTGTTAGTGTAATTTTTGTTATATGCGTAATATATATTATCTTTGGCCTTTTTGCATGCTATAAAATGCTTGATTTGAAGTTCACAGGTATACTGTCGGCAAGATAACACCGGTGCCTAAGCGTGATGTTCGAGCTGCTGATTTTGGTGATCGAGCTAGAATTACTATGTTTTTCCCCAGAAGGGGTTCACAGTTTACCCCTCCGCACAAATCTATTGATTTCTACTGGAAGGATTATTGTCCTATGGTTTTCAGGTACTAAAACCTTGCGCACATTTTCCCAAACTTGTCAAAAAAACATTGCCGTTACTACTTGATGATTGAATCTTATTGGTAGATATATACCTTAGGAAGAATTCAAATTTCTTAGATTCTAGTCGTACAGAAAATGAGTTGAATTATGAAGTTATTCTTTGTGTGTATTTGTTGCATTATGTTCAGGCATCTTAGGGAGTTGTTCAAGCTAGATGCAGCAGAGTACATGATGTCCATTTGCGGTGATGATGGCCTGACGGAGATTTCTTCTCCAGGGAAAAGTGGCAGTCTTTTCTATCTATCTCATGATGATAAATTTGTGATTAAGACCTTGAAAAAATCTGAACTCAAGGTTTGAATCTATTACCTTTTCATACATTGTATCTGCTCAGTTGTATTTATGTTTTCAAATTTCGATCATGTTCATCAAATTTCTATCGATATAAACATTGTTGGGAAAGGAACCTTAGCAGCTGCTTGATTTAAAGCAGGATATGCGTTTTCCTAATGTAGGCCAATATATACCCTTAGACCATGATGGATGTCCTCTATATTACACAAGTAATTTTCTTCTTTCTAGGTTTTACTCAAGATGCTACCTAAATACCACAATCATGTCAAAGAGCACGAAAATACTCTCATAACGAAATTTTTTGGCCTTCACCGGATAACTTTACCAGGCAGAAGAAAGGTATTTGTTCATCCATCTGTCTTAGCTTATATAAAGCAATGCGCTTGGCTTATGACTCGTGTTCTGTTTCCAGGTGCGCTTTGTGGTAATGGGGAATATGTTTTGCACAGAACTGCGTATTCATCGCCGATATGATCTAAAGGGATCAACTCATGGAAGATTTACAGATAAAGATAAAATTCACGAAAACACTACGTTAAAGGATTGTGATTTGTCATATGAATTTCTTATGGACAAATCATTGCGGAAATTCCTTTTTCAGTAAGTTCCTCATCTTTATCCTCTCTAACACATGTTCTGCAGTGGTAGGCAGTATAATTTTTCTCATAATTGGTAAATTGCAAACTAGCTTTTAGAGAAGGATGTTAAGATCCAACCATAGCCCTATCTAGTTGCTAATATGTTCACAATTTGAAGGTTCATAGCTTAACAGCAGTGCTGGTGTTCTGCATGTAGTTTCCCGTTCAGTGGTTTTTAACAATCAACATTCTTTTTGCTTGTGTTGCAGACAAATTACTGTGGACAGCGCATTCTTGAAATCCCAACAGATAATTGATTACAGCCTTCTTTTGGGATTACATTTTAGAGCTCCTGAGCAACTCAATGGCCTTGTAGAACCTCCCAACATGATGCCTAGTATGGAGAACTCTCTTGCTGGCCAAGGTAGGTGTCTCTTTCTCATTTGATCATTTCATGTTATTGATAGGGCTTGGTTTCACCAGAGTAAAATAACTTGCGAGTCGGTTTAGAATGAAATGTTGCAGTCTTGTCATAAACTTACACGATACTAGACTTCCACTCTCCTGGATGCTTTTGATTATTATTGGCAATTTTTTTGTTCTGACATATGGGTGTGAATGACTTGGAAAATGAGATACTATAATGGTCATATCTTTTGTATTTATTGTAATCTTCTTTGCCTGAGTCATCACCAAACCAAGGACAAGGATATGCAGGTGATATGATATAATACATCCATGACCAGTAAACTTATTGAAGAGTGAGTAGGAGCTAATGGAAGAGAGAGAGACAAGACATGATAATACAAGAATGTGATCCCCAGATGGTGGATTCATTTCCGTGACTATTTTCCAATGTTGGTTTCCTTTGTTTTTTGAATTATTAACCTCTCTAATGGCGTGCACCTTATGTTCTGCTTTCACTAGGTGTGACCCCAGATGAAGTGTTATTTCCTTCAAAAGGTTTGGTGCTGCTGGCCCATGAACCCAGCTCCGTTAACACCGATCCAGGTCCTCATATAAGAGGAAGAGCATTAAGAGCATTCTCTTTGGGCGACAAGGAAGTCGATGTTTTAGTGCCTGGTACTGGAAGGTAGCCGCTTTCATTCCCAATTCTTTTTGCAGTTTGGTGTATAGCCTGATTGTACTGTTTCTCTAGAAGGTTTTCATATTTACCATTCGTTTTTATTCGGTTGGCGACTGCTTTTTAACTCAGGTTACGGGTGCAATTAGGAGTAAATATGCCAGCGCAGGCTACTCGTAAGCTTTCCCAAGATGAGTCCGATTCGGCCGAAGTTGAACTTTTTGAGGTATATGATGTGGTTCTCTACATGGGAATAATTGATATTTTACAGGAATACAATGCAAAGAAAAAGGCAGAGCATGCATGCAAATCAGTGAAATTCGACCCCACGTCGATATCTGTTGTGGAACCCGAGCTGTATGCTAAACGTTTCACTGATTTCTTGGAACAAAAAGTTTTCCCTGAACGACCATGAATACAAGTCATGTACATTCATCTCTTGTTACCATTGCTGCTTCATTCCTTTCTCTACTTTTGTCCTTTTGACAATTCTTTTTCCACTTGTAAAATGATCATCGTCTACACCAGTTGTACTGCTATGGTAGAGTTCTTAGTAAATGAGTTCACATTTTTACCCCTCTTACCCTCTCTGTATATGTATATGTATTGTATGCATACATATTCGCATTGCTATATGTATATAATATATATGTATGACTAGATAGTCAACTTAATGTTCCACCAAAAGTAGACAGATACAGACTATAAACATGCATGCATTTCTTTTCCTTTCATTTATTTCTAGTAGAATATTAGAATTTGGCTATGATCATGAAAATAATCATGAAACTGAATTAACAGAAATAAAATAATATTAATTTTTGAAGGAACAAAGCATGTTGATTTGCATCCAAGATTTGATGGACATAATAATCCCAAATAAATCACAACTTAACAAACCAAACCCAAAAAACACACACACACACAAAATGGTAAATCGTCCATCTTAACCAGTATTCGAGCTTCCTTCTTATAAAGCCGAGTTGCGCTAGCAGAATGCAAATCAAACCCCCCAACCTACGAGTTCGAACCCCGAACAAGCTGTGCAGTAGGCTTAAAGTTTAAAACTGGACTTGCCAGCACAAATTATAGACTTAAACCAACGTCTTCTCCAATTCAATCATTTTAAACCAAACCAACGTTCCTCCTGCTGCTGCTTCTTCCTCTTTATTGCCTCTTCCTTTTGTCTTTAAAGCCCCTCTAATTCCCAATATCTTTCCTCTGCTGCTGTTACCGTGCTTCCCTTCTCTGAGCTTCTTCCACCATCTTCCAGTTCTCTTCGAGCATCTTTTCTAACTTCTCTTTCTCTTTTCGAGATTGCTTCTGTTAACAAAATCAGTCAAGATTGATCATGAAATGGTAGGAAATAAAGTCGCAACTATAAGCCAGGATGAGAAAAGCCGATAAACACATCAGCATATATAGTTAAACTGAAAAAACATCAACAGACAATAGATCACATGATTTTGTCTTTGGAAATTTACTTCTTTTTGCCTAGCCTCAAGAAGGGCCGCTTCCTTTTCTTTTTCAAGTTGGGCAGCAACTTCATTGTTAAGTCTTCTCCGCCCTTCGTCTAATCGATTCTGAATTTCCTGCTTGATTTCCTCAGAGTTCAATCACTCTTCAACTTTTTTCTGAATTGCTTCTTCTACCCTCTTAGCAGTCTCTTCTTCTATGAGTTTTAATTCTGTTTCTTGTTGACGCCTGTAAAACAAGAGAAATGTCGAGCAGGAAAATGGAACATGTATTTGGGGAACTATACAGCAACCTTTCATTACAGATATCTTTCCAAACCTGACAACAGTACAAAAACAACTGACATGTCATGTTTGCTTCTCTTTTTTTTTCTTTCTTTCTTTCTTTATCTCAACATCTTTCTTGATGCACTGTGTAACTATAACAAATGGGCAAACTGACCTTCATGACGACAAAGGCACTAAATTATGCTATGCTTTTAAGGCATACCTCTAATCGAACCTGATCCAAACAAAAGAGGTACAAAATTGGTGAACAGTAGAGAGAGGTGCATCCAATCAGATCATCAAATATAACAAAGTTGAATTATAGCAGTATCTTCCTTCAGAAAATCCTGTAGAGAAGAATATCAAGTAACTTGCAGTAGATTTATAACTACTAACCGTAATACTTCAACCTTGCATCAAAATACGTTTTTTTATGAGAAAAGTTTATATCCTTTTATAGACATCATCCTCTTTTAAAGGTTAGTGAATAATATTCAACTTAAAACATTTAGTCAGAATGGGTCTCACTGTAAAATGCATCACAATTAGGAAGGTCAGGAAAAGGGGTTTCTGTACATGCAACTAATGCTCTTTGCCCATAGGAACTTCACTTTCACGTTTCCCATATGATTTGAGGTTATGTCGTCGTAGTAAACCAAATATCTTATTGTTATGAAAAAAACTATACAAAAATATATCAGCTTCCACCAGAATCATGACTCCAAAGCACAGTGTGAATGAGACCCAAATATTAACAAAATAAATAAATATTGAACATGTAGCAAAAGTTTAGAAAAAATAAATAAAAGTAGAGTGGATACAATTCAAGAAGATCTACAAGAACAGTGGAAAGAAAAATTAAAATGGCCTGCATAAATTTGATATACCTTTTCCTCTCCTCTTCTTTTTTTCAGTTTCTCACTAGCATCTTTGCGGTCTATTGACCCAAGATTTGGGCTAGATGATTTATGAGTAGGGGACAATGAAGAACTCCTACTTGTTTGCCTCTTATAACGCTTTGGAGTCAAAGAACAACTTTTATGACATCTTGCAGTTGGAGAACGGCTTTTGTAGCACCGTGGACTAATGGAACGACTCTTTCTTCTGTACAGCAACACAAATTATAGAGCAGCAGAAACAGAATTGGGGCATAAAAGCTACACAAACTAAAAATGAGTAAAGCTCACCATCTAGCAGAATAAATTTAAAAGCATATACAGTTACCTCATACATTGTTAAGATAAGCATTGAGCTCCATCATTTATCACATGAAGAAGATAAGGTTACATTCAAGCAACGAAAGGAACCCATCCGCACCCATCACCTGCTCACTTCCCATCTCAAGTGATGGGAAGAAACTGTCTTTAATGTTCTAACGAAGATCATGCTTCCTCACTGTCATAGATTTCTGTATACATTGTCCATGTGTTTTTGTAATTAGCATATTTGACATTTCCATTTTCCCAATCAAAATGAACGTTCCTTACATGTTAAATACACACTGAGATGTCGATTAACTCATAGAAGAAATTGAATAATACACCATCAAACTTTATTGGAAAAATTTCAGCTACAAGTGGGCATTAACACAAATCTATAATCCTGAAGGTACTCCAGGAAGTCAGGCAGTGATGCCTTCTGAACAGAAAAGTACCACATAAATAACAAAACATTGACAATCAAAAGATTAAACTGCAATGTAACTGACACTGACCAGTCTAACAAATTCCAAGTTGCCAACAGCACACCCTCAACTGCAGCAGCACTTTCCATTTGGCACATTCAAAATCTAATTGCCACTCCATATCAAATTCTTGTCTGGGATCCAATTTTAGAAAAGCAATCATAATTGTAAACAGAAAGCAAGCTACATAGTCTTTCCAGTAAATCTGAAGGAGCACCAAAAGATGTACAGATAAGTAGCTTATACAAACTTGAAGAAATTGTAATTCCAATCCCAAAAAAAATTCCAGAGTTCCAACCTTTCTTAGAAAATTCCTTACAGCTGCATCTTGTATGTTAACAAATTAACATAAACAGAATGAATATAAAAGGGATCACCTGCTATAAGAATAAGGCGACGAGCCTCTATCCCTTCTGCTCCTCCTCCCATGCCTATGCCTAACAGGAGATGGTGAATGTCTACGCCTATACGAGGGTGTACGAGACTGTGATCTTGACAAATCTCGAGGCATCTTCTATCAGTTAATCGCCTCAACATTAAGAAGTATCTGTGTGCGAGAAATCACAATTAGTATACAAACGTTTCTCTTGCAAAACTAAAATATTTCTAGCCAAGTCAATGAAACTAAAAAATGAATTAACTTGGATTCATCATCCTTAATCAAATTGACCTGAAAATCCAATATGGCTAATTGGAAAAATAAAATTATCAGCTTAATAGAAAAAGATTTCGGTTTTCGACATTCCCTTCTCGCTCTCCCAAAATTTCCCCAATTTTCTAGCTAAACAAACAAAAAGAAAAGAAATCAGAAAAAATGAATACAATAGAAGAAACCCTAGAGCAGGCCAACCAGCCTACGAATGCCGAAAATCTTAAGAAACCGCGCTTTACATGAAATTCACATTGAATAATATTAATAAATAACTAAACTAAAACATGTATAGCATATCAGATTCGAACCCTAAATTGGAAAATTTATGCAAATGACATGCAAGCAAAGTAAAAATAGAGAGAAAAATTGTCGAATAATTCTATGATAATTATTAGGCGAATTGAGCGAACGAAAACTTCGTACCAGTAATTAGGCTATGAAATTATCCAACTTCAGATCGGAAAGGTTCTACGTTTCCTTGCAATAGCCTTTAGGTTTAGTTGGACAAATCATAATATAGTTATGGGTAAACCACTAGAGACCGTTGAACTATGGTTAAATAGATGGTTAAGGTGTTCAACTTTTTTTTTCTATTTAAGTATTTAAAGTATTCACCATAAATCAACTTGTAAAAAAATTATTGTTGTTTTTAGAGATTATGAATTCGAACACCAACAATTACAAATATGATTAAAAGTTCATTGTCAAATGGTTGAGCGATTACTTAGAACATATACTACTTGTAATCACCCTTAAAAAACATGTTTGGTAGAAAATGAATTATTGTTATTTCTAGATATTTTGCGTTCGAACACCATGAATGTATGATGTAAGCATACAAAATCAAAATAAGATGATTACGAGTCATCTTTGAATAAATATTATTTTATATTTATCTTATATTAATAAAATATATATATTATGAATAATAATAAAAAACATCTTTTTTGTTTTTTGAGAGAAGATTTTGTATTATCCGTATAATTGATACATACAACACAAAACATCGAAGGTAATGTGTGCCAAGGTGGTCGCTACTTCAAATGGTTTAAATCATTGGGCTGATGTCCTAGGGTATTCAGAATCGGTTAAATCGGTTTGGGGGAGCTGCAGAAACAAAGGTTTTGGCTATTTCTTGGTTGAGATGAAGAAAGCAACGAAATAGTGGGTGACATTCGAAAGTCTTAGGGATCCCAAATCCATCACAGATATTGAAAAGAGGATTGATGAGCGTGAAGCATTGGCGGTTGGTTTGAATAATAGCGCTGGAGTAATGGTTGAAATTAATTCATTTAAAGCCAAACTATGGTCGAGATTCCGTAGAGAGGAGAGGGAATGACTCCAGAAATCCAGGTTATGGTTCAAGGATAGAGATGGGGATTCGAAAATTTTCAATCTAACGGCATCTATCCGAGGTAGGATAAATTATATTGCTGCCATTCGTGTGGGGAATTAGACGTTTACGGAGTCGAAATAGATTTCCAAGTCTTTTGTGTACCATTTAAAGGACAACTTCTACTCGA